GATCGCATGGGTAGTTGGTGAGCAGCAGCATTCTACCACTACTGAGTCAGCACCAACGGCCTTTGTGGATAACCAATTGTAAATACCAAGGGGTGATACGAGCATTGTATTATTGTCACGACTACTGACATTTCAGCCTCCTTGGTAGGCTGAAGCACCAACAGCGACGCGTCTATCACAGTTTGCCTTACTACTGATATTAGCCTTACCGCAAGAATTTCCACCATAATGTAACGGTAGAGACAGACAGAGAGAGAGACGTCTACTTATATTTGATGACTAAGCTCACATTAGAAGAATAGAGTAAAACAAATTGCATTACATTAAAAATTGTCTTGCCAACACACACACACACACACAAGCAGACAGTAGAAAAGAAAACACAATGGACAAAAGTAAAACAAGAAGGTGTCAAATGTATTGTGTATTGTGTACAGAAACGGTGCATGCATACTAAACACATTTCTATTGTCATAGTGATCATTTGATATATATATTAGCATTTTTAATGAATTCACATTGCGCTTATTTGTGTGTGTGTGTGTGTTGGTGGGTGGAGAGATAGGACATAACTACTAGTTTCTGTTTTGAGAGTTGACTCAATTTTACTATTATTGTTATTATTATATAATATTATTATTATAATTACAAGAACAAAAGAATTAATGAACACAGAAACACAAATACACACACACACACAACCAACTAAAATCTTACCAAATCAACATAGAAAAATAAACTGAAAACAATGAACTTGTATAATAATAAGGGGTAGAATAGAAGGTAAAACTAAGTAAGATATTCAGATAATTATTGGTGGATGGTGACTAGCAGTGGAATCCACCAGGATGCGCATTTCGTCCTATTTGGGACTCGTCCTCCAGCTGGATGTACCTGCATTCCGCAGTGAGTGATGATGTTCCGGCTGTGAGTGGTCTATTGGATAACGCTGTGGCGTTTGAAACTATGGACACTGGGTTCGAGCCTTGGCGGGAAAGTCGACACTCCCTGGGGAATGCAGGTACGTCCACACGTGCTGATCCTGGATTCCACTGCTAGCCACCATCCACCAATCAACTTCTAATTACGTGCCCAGACATTGTCGAAGTACCTGAACAAGGAGCTGCCGACATGTCAACCTGAGACCGAGCACTTCGGTCCAGTCAATCGACGGGAATACCTAAAATTGAATTAAATAAAGATATTCAGGTTTTAAATTTTGTATGAATTTGGATTATTATTATTATTTTCTGTTCTGAGTGAAACAGAAGGCTTCAGCGGTACTTCTCCATTTCAACCTATTCTCTGGAGTCCTTTCTAGCTGTTTCCGCGATTGACTGACTATAAGCTGTTGTTTCCTCCTCAGATAATATCCCTACACGTCATCGTCGGACCCACATACGACTCATTGTTTCCAATTTGGGTCCCACTGGAGCGATGGCCTAACGCGTGGTGTCAACTACTCAACTACCTCCTCATTTGTGTTTTCGATCCATCTGCACTTTTTTTGTGGCAATTTGTTGAGCAGTAGGTTCTTGATTGGTTCGTTCCCAGACTTCCTTGTTGCCGATTTCTTTCGGTCAAGTAACTGATCTTCAAAATGGAGGCAACGATGAGGACAGCTTTCGGTGAAAGTCGGAAGTGGCTTGTTGAAAATGCTTTTAGTGACGCGTGTGCCAAGTTTCTGACCCATATAGAAGGAAAACTGACCAACTGACTGACTTTGTATTAGTGTTGAAAATTCAAATCTTGCTGGTTGTTCTGATTGCAGCA